CCACTGGCTTTCGATCTCTTCTCCCTTCATGTTTTCTCAGTGTCCTCCACACCTGTACTGCTGCCCTTCTAGACGCGGTGCGCTCGCCTCGACGTTGGGTTGTCAAAAAAAGGGGGAGGAGGAGGGGAGGAGGAGGAGAAGGAGGAGAAGGAGGAGGAGGGAGAGGTGATAATGGGATGAATGAGGGAGGAGGAGGAAAAGGAGGTTCATAAGGATGAGCATGGAGGACGATGAGGGAGGAGGGCGGGAGCAGGATTGCGGAGGATGATGGAGGAGGAAGGAGGGGGGGCGGAAGGATGAGGACATGTGAGGAGGAGGAGGAGGAGGAGGAGGAGGACGACGACGACGCGGGGCGAAAAGGGAGAAAAGGGACGACGAGGTGCGGGGCGAGAGGGCAGGAATGCTGGCGGGAGGGAGGGATGGAGGGAGGCATGGGAGCAGGAGAAGGGGAGGGAGAGGCGGGGTGGTTTGGGATCGGTGCAAGGGCGCCCTGGGTCGCGGGAGCCAAGGCGGCCAGGCGCGCGAGTACCCTTCCCCCGAGGCGCGGAACGCCTTTCCGAGGGAGCTCTGGGAAGGGGTTCCATGAGCCGGGTGGATGGCCCACTTGGGGCCTCGGAGCATCAGCCGGACGGATGGCCCACTTGGGGCCCTGGACCAGTGCAGGGGTACTGGGTGCCCCGGTGTGATGTTCCATGAGCCGGGTGGATGGCCCACTTGGGGCCTGGGGGCGGCGAGGGGGTTGCGCGCAGGGCGTGCGAGGGTCGGGGGCGTGCATGAGCCGGATGGATGGCCCACTTGGGGCCTCGGGGGGGGCGGCCTCCATGGCCCAGCCGGGTGGATGGCCCACTTGGGGCATCGGAGCATCAGCCGGACGGATGGCCCACTTGGGGCCTGCATTCGGCCTCCGCGGAACAGCGTTCGGGAAGGGCTGCGCGCCTTCCCGGAACAGCGTTCGGGAAGGGCTGGCGGCGGAGGGAATGGGGAGGGGTGGGAGCGGGAGAGCACGAGGTTGGAAGAAAGGGGCAAATGGAGGGAGGGAAGGGGAAGGGGACGGGGGAAGGCGAAATAGGACAGGGGAGCTGGGGGAAGGGAGGGGGAGGGGGGGGGGAGGGATGAGGGAGGCAGAGTGCGAGAGAAAATGGGCGCGGTTGGCAGATGTAAGTAGCGGGCTAGCATCAGTGAGGCGCTGAACGACACTGGTGTGGGACGCGGGGCGACGACGACGACGACGACGACGACGACGACGACGCGGGGCGAAAAGGGGAGTGAAGGGAGAAAAGGGGAGGTGGCGGCGGAGGGGGCAAGGGGCTGCGCGGTGGGCGGAGGCAGGGGGAGGGCCAGCACGGGAGCGTGCACGGGGCAGACCAGGCGAAGTGGCCACTTCGGCGCCACAGAAAGGGCGCGGCGGTCGACGGGCACACCTAGGACGAGAAGGAGAGAGGGTGGCAGAACAGCAATTCCAAGGCTGCCCCTCGCAGACAATTTGGCTTCACTCGTGCGGCCTGATCCCGCTTCGAGGTGTCTCCATGTCGACGCGGTAGCGGGCCGTGGGCCGAGGCGACCGAACTGCTCCGAACGCTGGGCGGAAAGGCGTTCCAGAAATCTTGGAACGCCTCCCCGAAAGCCGTTCCATGCACCCTTTCGACGGCCCACCTTCTGGATGGCCCTGTTCGCCCCGCCTAATTATTGTCATTATTATTATTATTATTATTTCCGGCACGGCTCCCCTGGCCATTCCGCGGAGCCTCCACAGCGCCCCAGGAGGCCCCACAAACGCCCCCGAGTAGCCCCAAAATGAGAAGGGATGGCCCAAAACGCTCCCAAGCAACCCAAGTAAGCTTTCCGACGGTTCTCGAGGTTCCCAGGTGGCATCCAGGATACCCTAAGAGAGGTCCGAGAGGCCCGAGAGCGCCGAAGAGGCTCCCAATACCGCCCCCGAACCACCCAAGAGACCGTCAAGACGGCCCCAAGACGGGCCAAGAAGGTTCCAAGCTTGCCGAAGAGGCGCCCAGGACAGCCCCAGACCACCCCAGAAGAGGCCCAAAATGGGCCCAAGAGCGGGAGCAGGAGGCTTCCAGAGACTTCCGAGAGGCCTCCAGGACCCCCCGGAGGCCCCCAGAGGCCCCAGAAAAGACCCCGACGAGGCTTTAAGAACAGCCCAAGAGAGCTACGAGAACCGTCCCGAGAGAAAGCAAAGAGGGTAACATCGTTGACCTCCACTGTTTTTTCTAATGCTTTCCGCCTTCTCACGTTCTCCCGCTTCCAACCCTCGAAGATCGAGGATTTTGAAAACAGAAGCAACGAAATCCCATAATTCCTGTTGTTTTCTCTTGCTGAGTGGGACCCCCATTCGGAGATCCCACAGCTCGTGACATCTGGCCGGTACCGCGCCTCCCGGCTTCCCAGGCGACACCGAAAACGCCGAAGGACAGCCCAAGGAGCCTCCAGAACTTTCCAGGCGTCCAGGAGGCCTCCAGAACCCCTAGGGGGGCCCAGAAGATCCCACACCCCTGAGGGGCCCAGCTAACAAAACCCGCCAGACACACTTGGGTCCCTTTTGGGCCGTCTTGGAGCCCTCTTGGGGGCCTCTTTGGCTATCTTGGGTCGATCTTACAGGCTTCTTGGGCCGTTGTGGGCTTCGTGAAAGTTCAAGAGGCGAATGTGCTAAACTTACACGTTTTTCCGTTTTTCCCTAAGGTATGGGACGATTGTTGCTTCTTGAGGGCCTCTTGGGACGCCTCTTGGCGGCTTCTTGGGGCGTCTTGGGGGCCCCTGGGACCGTCTGGAGGCAACCTTGGGCGTCTTGGAGCGATCTTTCGGCGACTCGTAGCCCTCTTGCACCGTCCAGAGGCCTTTTTGGGCCCTCTTGGTCTGTTTTGGGGCCCCCTGAGGCTCCAAGGGTGCGGCCGGCACCTTTGCCCCCCCCCCCCCCCTTCCAGGCCAGACCGGGCTCCCGGGGAGGGGTTTGGGGAGGGGGAAGCATCTCACACGCTATGACCCCAAGGGGTCGGCGGATTTCTGCGTTTCCGCACTTCCCCTTCTATACGATTCCGAGGCTTGCGCAGGGCCTCCAAGGGAGTCCCTGGACGCAAGAAGCGACCAACATGATATTACATGAGTTAGCCGATCAAACCTAGCTAGAACTTGAGCGCGCGCGAAGCGCGCGCGATGGTTCTAGTATATACATATACCAGGATGCGGCGGACTTTGTGCATCAGGCTGGAGGTGTGGAGGAGGGCGTTCTCCTGGTGGCCATTTCCCTGTTTTTGTGCTTGACTCGTCCCATTCGCATCTCGGACCATGATTGACGCCTCGCGTATTTCAGCCAGCCCACCCAAACTGGAGGAACCTGCGAGTTGCCCTGATCAAAGATGCGCAGCAGCGTGCAATCGTGCCCTGGGGTCCTCGTGGAGGCATCCTGGAGGCATCCTGGAGGCACCTTGCTGCCATCGCGGGGCCTTTTTTGGGGGGCCACGTTTGAGGCAGTCGGGGCTCTCCTGGGACCTTCTTGAACTCTGGGGGGTCCCTTGGGGGACATCGATCGCAGAGGTCTGGGAGCTTCCGGACCCTCCTGGGGCTTCCTGGGAATTCCGGGGACCTTTCGAGGGAGGGGCAGGCATGGAAGGGGGGACGGAGGGGGGGGGGAGGGAGGGGGGGAGGGGTTGGAGGAAGGGGGCGGAGGGGGTGGAGGGTAGGGGGTCCACGATCCAGGGAGAGGTGGTAGGAGGAGGGGGAAAACTTTCCCCGAAGGGGGAAAAGGAGGTTGGCATAATTGACTCTTTGCACCACCGACGTTCAGAGGGCTGTCCGGATTGCGAGGTAATTTAGTTCCACTTCATCGTTCGTCTTTCGCCTTCACCTACATTTTCTCCGACACCTTGAATTCTCAACCTTTCCTCCTCTCTCCCTGTCCCTGCCTCGCCAGGTTCAAACGTAAGATTTCTCATCATTGGTCCATACTCTGCAATTGTGCACTCGTTCGCCTTTTTATGCCATACCATTCTCCTCTCGCCCCAGCTCCTGTGTCTGAGCTTGGCCAGTTTTCTCTTACATGCTGGTTTTTGCGCATCCGATTTCAGAAGGTGATATGTCATGTGTGTGTGTGTGTGTTGTTTTTCAATGGTAGCGTGGGTCGATGTTTCAGACGGGTGCTCCCGCTGCAGCGTTGGCATCGTTTTAGGATTGACGTTTTGTTTTTGTCTTTCAGAATGGCGCTCTCTCTCTCTCTCTCTCTCTCCAGAGCGGCCGCAATTCTGGATCTGAGTCCTTCATCGTCGTTGCCGCCTCACTCCTGCCCCCTCCTCCGCCTTCACTGGTCCTCCTGCTTATCCCGCTCCTCGCACTCCTGCTCCAGCTGCTGTTGTTCCTCCCCGTCTTCCTTCCTCATCCTCAGTCTCTTGATCCTGTTCTTCTTGCTCATCCGACACCTCCTCCCCCTGTTCTAATGCGCACAACTTTCCCTGTCTGATTGAGCATGACACGATGGGGTCCGTTTGAGGGTTGCAGGTCCGCTATGACACCCGCCGGTGGATAGAGGCAAATCAGCGTAACGGACAGGGATGGGTAGCCTGTGAGGCGCAGTAGGATATCAGATATGACGCGAGCGCACCTAGCTTGCCCCTCTCGACCATGCCGACCTTCTCCCTTCGATCCCTTCCTTCTCCCGCTCCTCCCTCTTCGTCACTGCTTCATCCCTTCTACTTCCTCCTCCTACTCCTCCTCCTCCTCGGTGTTCCACGTTCGATCCATACCCCACTCTGGCCGTCAAGGGGGGGGGGTCGGTGGGGGGGGCAGGGCATGTATAAAGAACGTGGCGTGCAGATGATTGACTTTAACCCATGCCATCACCCTGCTCCCGCGAAGAGTTTTGGCGTGAGCAGGGGTATGGATAAATCGTCGATCGCCTACCTCCTCCTCCCTCTGCTCTTATCCCTTTTCCTCATCTCTTCTCCCTCCTGCCTCTTCCCCCTCCCTCCTTCTCGCCCCCCCAGCCCTGGCAGGCGGCAAAGACGGCTTCGGAGGCCACCCCTATCGACAGGCCCGCGGCGCGAGGGATGTGTCTTCGCCGTCGCCGCCGTCGACGCGTCGCCGTGCCGTCGTCGTTGCTTCGAGACGGCACGCCGTGGTTGCCGCCGCCGTCAAGGTATCCGTCGTCGTCCATTTGCTCCTCCCTCAGCTGCTCCTGCCCCTCCTCTTCTCGTCCCGCCCCCTGGGTGAGGTTCAAAAGAGCAGGTGGCCATGATAATGATATGCTGCAGCGTGTCTCAAGTATTTCCCGGATGTCGGCGGTTTGTTCGATACCGTGGGCATTTCGGAACGTATCCAGAGCCAATCCGATCATGACGTCATGAGTTCAAGAGAGGGAAGACCACCCAGACCCAGTTCAAGAGAGGGAAGACCACCCAGACCCGGCCCTGGGCGTTAACTAAACTGCCCCGCCCTGTTCGATTCCTTACGTGGGTGTGTTTGCTAAACGGCTCCGCATGTCGGGGGGATTCGCATGGGGGTGGAATTTCTGCCTTCTATCTATGTCCTATTATCCGTAAGGGCTTCGCCCCCTGCCGCCGGCCCCCTCTCTCGGAGAATGGGCCATGGAAGAGCTAAGTCATGAGGCCTTGGCGCTGTCGTGAAGCAGTATCGAAACTTCATGCGAAGCCGAGTCGCAATCAGCAAAACCAACTGATCACAAGAGGGGTTACCACACCTGGCGATTGGTAAGACGTGTATGGTTTAAGGGCTTGGTTACCACACCTTGCGATGAAAGGGCCGAGGGAGTTCTCGCAGTTTGGGTTACCACGCCTTGCGATGGATGTGCGTGATGGGTTCGAATTTCAGAAATGTGGCAAATCCCCTGTGTTTTTGGACCCTGACCCCGCGGATCTGCGTGAGGGGTGGCACCGAATTTCAGAAATGTGGCAAATCCCCTGTGTTTTTGGACCCTGACCCCGCGGATCTGCGTGAGGGGTGGCACCGAATTTCAGAAATGTGGCAAATCCCATGTGTTTTTGGACCCTGACCCCGCGGATCTGCGTGAGGGGTGGCACCGAATTTCAGAAATGTGGCAAATCCCATGTGTTTTTGGACCCTGACCCCGCGGATCTGCGTGAGGGGTGGCACCGAATTTCAGAAATGTGGCAAATCCCCTGTGTTTTTGGACCCTGACCCCGCGGATCTGCGTGAGGGGTGGCACCGAATTTCAGAAATGTGGCAAATCCCTTGTGTTTTTGGACCCTGACCCCGCGGATCTGCGTGAGGGGTGTCGATTCCGAGCCCCCCAGCAATTCAGACAACGCGCCCAGGGGAGGCTAAAAGTCTTGTTTGGGCCTCCCCCCCCCTCGCGCGGTCAATCAACTAGTTACAGTAACCAGCAAGAAGTCAACTAGTTACAGTAACCAGCAAGAAGCAGAACTGTAACACTGGAAACTACAAACTACAATTGGTACAGGAAACTGCGAATCACGGTCCTACAGCCTGGTGGCCCCATAAGGGGGCTGGCGGATTGGCCATACGTCGTTCTGCAGCTTTCAGGCCGAAGCCGATGTCGTCGGGTCGCTGCCGCCGCCGCGGCCGCCGCCGCCGTCGTCGTCGTTCCCGTCGTTGTCGTCGTCGGAAGGTGCAGGACGATGAGGACGACCTCTCCTGTTTGCGGGGGATACTTTTGTTCGTATCCTCTGCAGATTGGAGATTCGGGCTCCCTTCACCAGAAGCCCGAGGTGCACTGGACATGGATATGTCTGCCCCCTAGAGGCTCGATGCTGATCCATATCCAGTGCGCCTCGGCCTTGTGGCGCTCGTGCCAAGACTATTCAAGACGCGCTGGATACGGATACAATTCTGGCCCGCACTGTTGCCTCTTCCGCCCCTATCTGAGAGGCAGCCCGAGCCGCCTTGCTGGAAGTCTGCGCAGCGGGGATTATCGATGGTCCGCGCGGGCGCTTGCCAACCCCAGTGCGACGACGCATTAACAAGATGCAGTAGGACGACCGAGGTATAAGATCGAGGCATAGATCGAGGACCGGGGAGAGTACCCTCGTGTGTTTCGTGTCTGTCAGACGTTCTCGCGCACCCCGGGGAGGGTACCCTGGGATGGTTTGTCGGTGTTGGCCGACGGAGGGTCTCATGTTCTTGAGGGACGCTCTTCTGGCCAAGGTCCGGCTGTAGTCGAAATGCGTGCGCTCTCTGGGGGGGGGGGGGAGGGGGAGGGTCAGGAGGGGAAAGAACATACAGACACAACCAATCTTCGATCCCCAGGAAGATCTAGGAAAATATGGAAAGGGGGGGGGAAGACAAAAACCCAGAATACATGGAACAAAATACGGGAGATCCTGGGATGTGTGTGTGTGTGTGTATTGATCTGTGTGTCCCTGGGCCCCTTCACTCTGGGCGGGGGGAGGGGGAGGGGGCGTCCGCCACCTCCTCGTTCCCGCTCGTCCTCCCTCCCTCGACTCCTCGCGGAGGGCACGCAGCCTAACAAGGGGACGCGCATGTTGCACGTGCGCAGCACAGGCGCGCGCATACGTACAACGATTCGTTCAATTGTAACTGCTGCTCGCACGGGTAGCACGTACAGTGGGCGCGCATCAAGAAACCATCTGCTTTTCGTCAGGGTATCCTGGGTTTCTTCGCTCCTCGCGCTGCGCGATGATTTCCGGCAGCCGTTGAAGGAGCTGCTGCCTTCAGGGTGCTCCAGGTGTCCCCTCGGGTGCACCTCGCCCACGGGTTCTCAGGGTTGGGTTTCTTGCCAGGGTGTCTTGCGGCCGCGCCCGCACTGTATGAATTGGCTTGTAATGGTACGCTGCAGGAGTACACGTGCAGGTGAGCCATAAGGAGTAGTCGTCATCTTTTGGCGCGGGCGCGAAGCTGATAACGAAAGGTGTTGCCGAACGGTAGAGATAGAGGGATGTGAAGGGTACGGCGCATGCGAAGAGAGTGCATGAAGATGAAGGCAACGAGGAAGGCAAACGCGCAAGCGCAGCGTGAAGGTGAACCAACTTGCGCCCTCCCGCCTCTGCCCCCAGAACCCTGGTCGTCTCGTGTTTCTTGCTCCCTCCTCATCCGCCCTCGCGCCCTCCTGCCGCAAGTCCGTCTCCTCCGCCCTCCTACATTCTCCTGCTCCTCATCCTCCCCTCTTCTCCCCCCTCTTTTGGGGCTTCGCGGATACTCCCGTTAAAGGCTCCTCCCCCCTTGGGAAGGGAGATTGGCCGTTGCTAGCCCTCCAGACTGGGGACAACTACGGCACGTTAGAGCTGCCATGACAACAATGACCATCTCACCTACCTACCCCTAGTTCCTGCTACGCTCGGGCTGGCTAGTCTTGCCAGCTGGTCCGAAGGACTTGCTAAATCCGCAGGGCCCCTTGTGGGGCCACCAGGCTGTAGGACCAAGGTTTGCTGTTCTCTGCACCAGCTCCAGTTTCCAGTTTCCGTTGTTACAGTTCTGCTTCTTGCTGCCCACTGTTCCTTGTTGATGGGCCGCGCGAGGGGGGGGGGAGCCGAGAAGGAACCCAGTTACCCCGCCCGAATCCGGTGCTCTGAATTCCTGGGGGAGGCGTGGGACAAGTACAAATACATGAAATTCGCGCCCCCGAGGCCATGCAACTTCGTAAATTACACTGTATTCGCGCCTCCGAGGCCATAGACCCTCGTGAATTACTTAATATTCGCGTCCCCGAAGCTATAAACCTTTACAAAATACGCCCTGTTCGTGTCCCCGGAGCCATAAACTTTTTGTAATTTAGTCAATAATTGCGTCTCCGAGGCCACAAACTCTCGTACATCATTGAATATTCGCGTCCCCGGCGCCAGAAACCCTTGTAAATTACGCAATGTTCGCGTCTCCGAAGCCATACACCTGCATACATGACACAATACTTGCGACCCCGAAGCCATAAGCCGTTGTAAATTGCACAATAGTCGCGTGCCCGAAGCCATACACTCATGTAAATTACTAAATCTTCGCCTCTCCGAAGCCATAGACCTGTGCAAATTACTACATATTTACGAGCCCGAAGCCATACACCTATGTAAGTTACGCGCTATTCGCGTATCCGAAGCCATAAACCATCGAAATACAGCACCGAATTCAACAATATCACCCGGATCTCAATTTATCTTGCCGATTACTCACCGTTTTCGCGTGAAGTCCCGACGCTGCTTCACGGCGGCGCCAAGGCCTCATGCTTTCGCTCTTGCAGTGCCCATTATCCGAGAGAGGGGGCCAGCGGCAGGGGTCGAAGCCCTTTCGGATATCTATATCGAGAAATCCTGACGCACGGCCTTTCCCTCTTGGCCTGCTGCAGGACACTGCCGCGAGGTCTGGACAGCAGGAAGCCCCAGAGAGCTTCCTCGGCAGCGCCCTGAAGCTCTGGAGTAAGCCGAAGCCTCAACCGCAACGCTTGCGATGGCGGAGCTGGCTTCTCTCCGCGTCCGCGCGGGCCCGTGAACCACTCCAGGGGAGGTAGACCTGCATCAGGCGTGTGGCGGGCCGCACCTTGTGCGCATGCATCGGGTGCGCGCTGTCTCTGCCGAGGGGGCTAACCAGGGTGGTCGGTTGGCACTGTGAGCTTGTTCCTGTGCGACCACGGTGTCTGAAGATCGATCTGCTCCTTCTCCATTCTCCTGCTCCTCATCCTCCCCTCTTCTCTCCCCCCTTCTCTCCTCGTGCCTCCGTTTCCCTGCTCCCTCCTCCCTCCCTGGCGCGAGAAGCCTTGCAGACGAGGGAGGAGTCCGGATGCCGCCGGCCGGGGGTGGGGGGCGGCCGCCCCCAGGGCCCCGTCGCGGCCTTGTTGTTGTTGTTGTTGTTGTTGTTGTTGTTGTTGTTGTTGTTGTTGTTGTTGTTGCTGTTGCTGTTGTTGTTGCTGTTGCTGTTGCTGTTGCGGTTGTTATTGTTGCTGTTGTTGTTGTTGAGTTCTCATTTCTGAAGAATAATTATTGTTGATCCCCCCCACCGGTGCATACGGTTTTTTCTCAATCAAAGTGTGCCCTTCGACGCTCGCACCTTGTTTTTTGACAGGGAAGTCTTGATGCTCAAACTGGGCCC